CTCATTTTCCTCCTTCCTTAAATCAGCTTAGGACAGAGACCCCTTCAGGTACATCACTTGTAGTACGAGCACTGGTTAAGCATTGAAGACTTGTGGAAAAAGATCTGCCAAGTTTTGCAGGCATGGCACGTGTTCCAAAGCTTGTACTTGTGAAGCACTACCTTTCGTGAGAGCAGAGCTACTTCCTCAGACTTGTAGAGCTGCCATCTACTTACAGCTTCAGATTCCAGCTAGGGGGGAAAGATAATCCCTGTTTAAAAGGCTTTTTTTGGGCTCTCGGTTTGTTCTATAGTAATTATTGCATCAGATCTCCTATTTGGCTTTCCTGCCAGCTTCATGCTCATCAACTGGAGGCTGGCAACTGGACTGTGTTGACCAGAGCCTTATTTCAGGGGGAAAACCCTGCCTTTCTCTTTGGTTTTAATTTTTTCTCTTTTCATTCCTCATGCCTGTCAGGAATGACCCAAAGGGCAGGATAGAAACTTGTTGAGCTGTTCAGTAACCTCACCTATGCTAGTAGTTTTTGACAGAGGGCTACACTAAGTGAGTCTCTGGATGGTAGTTGAAAGAAAATAAAGAACTTTCACTGAATTCTGCAAAGTGTTGTCTGAGATACTCAATTGATTTTTCTTTTCTTCTCTTGCCCTGCCCTCTCCCAGGTGACTGGAGGCTCAGCCTTTTTAAACAGGCATTATTTTCCCCCTGAATTGGAAGTCTTGTCAGTCTGAACCTGCATTTTCCTTTAACTACTTGTATGAAAAAAGTGAGGTTACTGAAATTAACAAGTCACTTACGCCCCCATTTAGGAAGGGTTGGATAGTTAAAGCTATGTGCAGGTAAACTCTATGTGTGAAGTGTTGCCAGGCTTTGCTTGTTAGAGTTTAATTGGTGGCATAAATACCGTTAATTTTTGAAAAGTTTTATTTTCATGAAAAAATCACATTTAAATGAAAATACTTAGAAAACTAAAAGCCAATAAAATTGTTAACTGTGGGCTTGTAAGACTTTCTTTAACATCCTCAGATACAGATTCTGACTGTATTTTAGTATCTTGGTGTATTTTTATTCTGCATTTCACATGAAGCCAAAGAAAGGCAGCCTGATTTTTCTCATGATGTTGAGAGCTACACATTTTTCAGTGTTCGCTTTAGACCAGTTTGTGGCAAACTTTCATGCTCTAAAAACTCCCCAAATGACTCCTAGTTTTGCTCATAGCCATAGATATAGCTAGCTAAGATAGGGTGGCTGAAGGGAGGGGAGGAGTAATTACTTAGTAGCCAGCTATCAAGCATTAAAAAACCCAACATCAGGCCCTTCTCCTCAACTATAAAACTAAAAGGCCTTTTAGGACCCCTTACCTTGCAGCATCTGAGAGTCCAAAGTGAATTAGTGCTTTCCAATGCATTAGAAAAATAGAACGAGAGTATCAAGTTCTGGCTTGGAAAAGTTAATAATTTATATATTTCATAAAATGATCAATTATTAATAAGAAAATCACTGTCATCAATACTCATGTCAGTACCAGAATGAATGGGAACTCATGTCTTCAAAGCATTTCTCTCAGAAGAAAGTTTCTTGCAAAGTGAAAACAGTAGGATTTAAAATTTGCTCTCAAGTTTTACAGAAGATCAAACACTTTTTTAAGATTTGCTGTGAACCCAGTGCACCATGCCAGGAGCACAGTGCCATCTTCGCAATTTGAAGAAATTAGTTTTGAC